CTTTAGTATTAACTGAGGCGGACATTGTATACCACACAAGTGAATAGTGCTTTTTACGCATTCTGATTGGTTAACTCGGAGGAGATAAGTAATGTACTCTTCACCTCCGAGCAGACGAAGAGAACCAAAATGGCTTTGCGTTTAGCCTCGCGGCTCGGTAAATGTCCATCACTATTCACATCCACCGCTTCGGCGAACAATTGCCGTTAACTTTTATCGTAAATTTATGGTATTCGTGTTGACATCATTATCGATTAAGAGGGTCTCCACCAGAAGTTCGAGTAAGAAGTGGACAAAAACTTTATACCAAGATTATTTACATCATTTGGCAAACTTCTGTGCGACTGTGATAAGTATCTTTCGATAGCTTCTCAAAAAAGATCATTTCAAACAACACCAAATGTCGAAAACAAATTTTGAAGCTCATATGAAAAACTTGAAAGTACTGGTGAAATGAAACTGATGGTGAAATTTTACCTGTGTTTGCACAATTTCTCTGAACTTTAAAATTTATTTTCTCGAGTTCCCGTGGGAAATTGCTTTCGGTGTTATTTCAGGCAGCTACTTATATCTTTAGCTTTAAGAAATTGTAAACAGGACTGCAAAATACTTTGGTACAAGGTTTTTTGTCCACTAAAAGCTGAAATTGCTCCATTTCCTATCCGGCGGGTTTTGTCTTAAATTTGCAGGGTGCTCTGCAACTATTTTGAAACTGTCTCGAAAAATTACCCGACCAATCTCTTGATCGATTGTAAACCTCCTGAATGGCAGTTTTCTTAAGTTGGTGTTACTGTAGAGAGCTTGGTACTACATCAAGACAACATCTATGACATTTGATGATTATTTTCTTTATTCTCATCACCTGCCTTTTCACATTGTATTGAGACTGGAAGGAGACATAAGTTGTTTATCGCTGAATAACAAATGAAATCTCGAGATCGTCACTATTTATGGGCTTCAGTTGAGGATCTTTTCCAACAAGAGACGCCGGTTAATTCGCAACGGACGATTCAGAAAATCCAGCTGACAGAAACTTTGGCAGCTGAAGAAGACATGCCTAAAATGCTATTGTTATAAATTAGAAGGCTAACCAGGAAATCTCTATAATCCCAGACGAAAATGTTGCACCAAAAAATGGGGCACCAAACAAGTTGTCCTCTTCCCCAACTTTATGCAACGCTGAAAATCAGGCCGTATTTTTTCCCTATTAGTTAGAAAAAACCGCGACAATTTGCTACATCAGTGATTAGAGGGGGTAGGGGAATAAGGGGATACGTCCTCCAGATTAAGTGTCCCAACAACTTTCGTCTGTGATTGTAGATTGCCTACTTGTTTACTGATCTTTTAGCTGTCTTAAGGCCTTGCATTAACAGGCCAGGCGAGAGATTTTACACTTCTAACGACTAAAGCAAGGTTGTAGCTAAGTTGAACAAGAAGACGTTTCTTATAAGGCTGCAGGGTGTGGTCGACGGAATGATCTCCTTGCCCAGCCCTACTTGAGTCTGCTTTTCAAAGTGCAACTAGAGCTAAAGCCTTAGTCCTTCTTAGCTATTGCGTACAAAATGAAAAGAAGTACGTGCTAGTGATTCACAGCGTTGAATGTCCTTAATGTAACGAGAACTAAACCTTGTCTTCTAGTTACTTCTCTTTACGTTTCTCCTCTATCTCCATGCACGAATTAAATCTTTGTGGTTGATTGCCATTGACAGTTTTTTCTAAATATTCCCACACGTATCGATTTTATGGCAAGCACGGTCAAGGTGACTAAATTCGCAAAGTAAATATGACTTTCTGCTCAATCATTTAAGTGCGCCGACTACAATTACAAAACACCAAAACAACACGAATTTCACTTAGTAACACTACATAGAAGATAAAAGCAAGAAAATAAAAGCAATAGTCCGACTTTAAACGCAGTGATAGGTTTTTGCAAATAAAAGAGTCCTGGTCGGTGAAAATTAAAGCGATACATAGTTCATACCCCATAAGCTCCTACAGCCTACACTGCCCACACATGCGCACAAGGTCTTTGAATACAGTCGAACCTCCACTAATAAACGGTCACCTCCCTACAACGGCCACTTTTTTGGTCTTGGCGGAAAGTCCTTACATTCATTTTAATTTTAACCTCTCTACAACGGCCACGACTGACGAACGATGCATACTAAGCCTCATTTTTGTGTTGCAAAAGTCACCAAACTTGATATTTCGCTTTGCATACGCTTTTTGAAAAGAAAAATGTTGCACACCCAAAAATACAGGTGTCATATTACACCATTACCTGCCCATAACGCACACCTCTCTACAACGTCCACTTTCCTCTGTCCGCCGAGTGGCCGTTGTGGAGAGGTTCGACGGTGTAAATAACTTCAAGTGCCACTACTAAGTTGAAAAATAATCCCTTGTTTCACAGGTGATGGAAGTTGACGTGATCGCATGATGTTTGCCCTAATTGCATCCCTGTACATGTACACATGTGTGTGTACAC